TAGTTACTTTCGGTAATTATATTATTAGTTCAGTTTCAGCTTTCGGTTATTTGTTGCCTTACATACTTGGTACATTATTTCGTACTAACATCCCTTTTGATGGGGACACTGTATTTCATGCCTGCAGGTCTTGATAGACAGCTGGATAGACCTTCCCAGTAGATAGAGTCAAACATCAGCTCAGTTGGTAAGCTCCACTTTCTCAGAGTTACCAGGTCTAGACCTTGGAGTCCATTGTATATATACACGTTTGATGGGTAGGTCGAGGCCCTGTCCCGACCATGATACAGTTTTGTTATCTCTAGAGGCTTGTAGACGAGTCCTGTATATTTTGTATGTTAGTATTGTTGCCTTGCTAGCAATGTGTGCATGTTTAGTTTGGTATTACTGGTTGTAGATGTTCATGGCAGCCTCGTCGGCCTGCACAAATATGTATATGAGTTTTTGGGTATGTTTTCCCCTCAAATGAGAGAGGCGTTATTTTCAGACGATTCAGAATATGGTCTCATCGACCTAAGTTAAGGGTTACCTCTCCAGAGTTCACAGTTACAAAGTGTTACGCTTGGGCCGAGTATGGCATCGGGTGCTGGCCACGCCTCTTCAGGTTTGGGGCGTGACAAACTTGGTATCAGAGCAGTTCTATCCTAGGGAGTCTATAAGCTGTGTCTAGTAAAGCCTTGTTTATAGATGTGTTGTGTACCACATTATATAAACAGGATGCTACAAGGTATTTATGAGTCTGTTATCCTTCTTTCAAATCCAAATCATGTTATAGAACTGAGTCATAAGAGTTCGAGCCATGACTTATCTTTGCTAATGATATAGAGATACTTGCAATTAGATAAATTACAGCTAGTCAGAGGGCTAATACAGCAGCAGGTAAGGGCAGTAGTAGAGAGAGAATTCTTGACAATGTGGCCCAGTTTGAGGCCCTATCAGATCATCCATACCAAGGTACCCAGTTAATGAATATCTACTTAAGACCCTAAGACGGGAATATCTAACATACCCCAATAATAGCATGCCATGTGAGTATCAGAAGGTAAAAGTATAAGTTTCAAAAGGTAATAGAAGCAAGGTGAAGAAGGGTACAAGGTACCCAGTTAATGAAGATTATCCGAATTTCCAATTCAGGCAGAGAAATATAAGGATTCTAAGTTACCTTCAATAGAAATAGAGGTATGTACAATTGGCCACACCCATCTCAGTTATGCCATATGGGAGCTAATATATATAGTTTAAGAGAAGGATGGGATATCAGGATCCAGCTTGGGTTATAGTGACGCAAAATGGTGGATTGATCCAGGGGAGCTAAAAGTGAAACAATGTTTTGTTGAAGTTTTCAGAATAATGTGATAGACAAAAATATTAGCAGGAGAATAAGAAGAGCATAAATGAAGCATTATGAGTATGGTATGATAAATGGGTGATAACGGTAAATCAAAATCTGGTAGGACGACAGAGTCTATGGTAAAGTAAAGGAAAAGACAAGATGTGACAAACCTTGAGACAATAAAAGAGTATAAGCCATAAATTCATATCCTTATTTCGAGAAATGAGTTGGTGACTCCAACATGATTACTAGAAAGCTATGTTAACCCC